TTAAAGTTAAAACTGTTTATACATATATGTATGACGAGTTGCCTATCTTTCGGGCAGAAAAAAATTTTCGTCCCGATAGATGGCGCTCGCAAGCAACATTGTCAAAGTGTGTCTGGAGGGTTGCATATGAACAGGCACGCATTTTTATAATAATTACAAAAAAAGTAAATAATAAAACACTTTAAAAAATGTTTGTAAATCAAATATTTTTATAAATAATGATGATTTATAAATAATGATATGTTTGTCTCTTTTTCTCTTCTTACGCAGTATTAAGGCCGTTTCTTTCCCCAACCACATTGTCCGTTTCCTTTCCCCACTACATTCCGATTTCGTTTTCCGACTACATCACCGCGATTAATTTTTTCAAATAACACCCATTCTGAAAAAGTTTTCACTTCAAAAAAGAAAAATTCTATTCTTAAATAATTGGATAACGTATATATATATATATATATATATATATAAAATTGTAATAAAAATTTTAGAAAAGAACTTTTTAACACGTAACTTGTATTAAGAAATTACGAATAACGAATTCTCCAGATAAAAAAGAAAACTTGTGTATAACTAAAACCGTAGATAAAGAACTCGATGAGAAATAAAGCGAAAGAAAGAAAGAGAACAATGGAAAGGAAAGAAAAAATTAACAAACAAATGAAAAAAAAATAGTGAACACAAGAAATACAAAAAGAAAAAAAAAAGAAGCCGAGGTCGAGAAGAAAATTGCACCAAGTAGAAAATACTATTATATTGTACATACTTCTAATGTAACACTGGTAAAAACGTGCTACGAATTTTCTTGCAACAGCAACTTTAATACAAGAGTTAAAGTTTATCTCTCTCTCTCTCTCTCTCTCTCTTTCTCTCTTTCTCTCTTTCTCTCTTTCTCTCTTTCTATCTTTCTCTCTTTCTATCTATCTCTTTCTCTCTCTTTTTTGTTTTCCTTTTTTAAGTCCACCTTCTTTCTAAAAGAAACGTAAAAAGCAAACCGAATTCTCGTTTTTCACGTCTCTTAACGCATCGAAGTCGATATGGGTTAAAACCAAGAAGCTGACCCTTCCCATCGACCATTATCCGTAAAACGATATGCCGACACCATCACCTTATCTTTCTTTTACCGACAAGGATAAAAAGTGTGAGAGAAATGGAGAGAGACAGAGAAAGAGAGAGAGAGAGAGAGAGAGAAAGAAAAACAAGTGAATTTGTTGATGTGATAAAAGTGTCGATGAAAGGACAAGCAATATTGAGTAAAAGTATAGTTTTCTTTTCACTTTTTTTTTCCTTTATGTTCTTTTTTATCTTTCTTTTTTTTTTCTCTCTCTTTTTT